AATAATTCAATATCAGCCTTTAATGCATTTTCTGGAAAATTCTAATTATTATACAAATAATTATGCAGAAAATAATACAAGTACACGTATGACTAATACAACTACAACAAATTTATTTACATGTATAAATTATTTGCATTTTCCAACACATTGTATGAAAAATAATTGATCCGTGTAAGAAAAGAACATACTCATAAAAAATATTGAGGGTGAAGTAACAAAAGTTGTTCCAGGGTGCTTGTAAACCTTTTCTTAAAGAGAATTAAAGCAACGTAAAGGAAAGTTAAAATTGTTAAAAGATCACTGAGACTAGAATACTAATTAATAGGATATTACTCCTTGTTTGTGAAATTTATAATATTTCAGAAATAAAAATATTCTTAAGAACTACATAAGAAGAATTATAAAGTGCAATAAAAATTACGAGATGTTTATTCATTACATACTACGAGTAGGAAAGCATAAAAATTAAATTGCTCAATCATCTCTAACCACAGATCCATCACCGATCAAGTGGTTTATTTTTTCATCAGGGTGCTCAAAAAATCTGTCACATCCAAGTGGGTGATGTCAAATTCATTGTCATAGACAAGTTTGGCTTCAGGACCTTTATTCTTTAGAGATACTTGATAAAGCTCAACCAAATGTTTTGGTATGCGACAAATTTTTGCTCAATGCCCTTTTCCACCGCAATGATAGAATTTAGTTTCTGAACCCTCTGCGTTTCGCTTCTCATCTTTCCCTTTCCATTTTTGGAAGTTATTTTTCGGTGGAGGATGATTAACACTAGGAAATTTTTTTCCTTGGATATGGACACGAGCACGACCACGAATATGACCACGACCTTTTCCACGATTAGCATAATAGGAATGCACCTCATCCTCTTTAGGCAATGGTGTAGACCCAGTGGGTTGATTTTCGTGATTTCTCATAAGCAATTCATTGTTTCGTTCAGCCACAAGTAGAAGAAAAGTCAACTGAGAGTACTTTGTGAAGCCTTTCTCTCGGTACTGCTGTTGCAAGATCATATTGGAGGCATGAAACGTTGTAAACGTTTTTTACAGCATATCATAGTCACTGATATTATCTCCACAGAGTTTCAATTTAGAAGTAATTCTAAACATAGCAGAATTATATTCAGAAATAGACTTAAAGTCTTGGAGCCTAAGATGAGCCCAATCATATCGTGTTTGCGGAAGAGTGACCAACTTTAAGTTGTCAGATCTTTCCTTTAAACTATTCCACAAAATAAGTGGATCTTTCACTGTGAGATATTCAATTTTCAACCCTTCATCAAGGTGATGGCGCAAGAAAATCAAGGCCTTAGCACAGTCTTGGGTAGATGCTTTATCTTTATCTTTAATGGCGTCTCCAAGACCCATTGCATCTAAATGGATTTCAGCATCCAATACCCATGTCATATAGTTCTTGCCCGAAATTTCAAGGGCAACGAACTTTCTTTTCATAATATCAGACATAATTTAAAAAAATACAAATTTGAGAAAAATTATACCTCAATTTTCTCAAAGATCTTCTTGAAATTGTAGAGTCTCGTGCTGATAACGTGTTATAAAATATAACCCAAAATAACAATATAGAACAAGCAAAAACAAACTAAGATATATAGAGAGAAAGAGAGGAAGAGAGATTCTTATTTTTTCTTCAATTGTGTGTATTTTCCTATCTATTACAAGGTCTTTATATAGGCATAAAAAGTGAAGAAAATATATCATGGAATATGTCATTGAACATACAAAATATGTTATTGAATATATCATTAAGCATTTAAGATGAAGATCATGGAAGAAGAGTAGACATCTACTATAATGTGATATTTATCGTAACAGTTATTAGTTCGTATTCTGTCCTTATCCTTTTTACCAAGGGTGAAGCTTTTAGTGCTATGATCTTTCTATTTTTTCCCAAGTAGTGTTGTAAGTGAGACGTGATTCGGTATCTGCCCTTCAACTCAGAAGCAATGGAATTCTAGAAAGGAAAGCACGTGCAGGGTTAAAGTTAGTTGCAAGGAGAGGTGGTTAGAGCTCCACGCCTACATGCAACTCCCACTCCTTTATAAATCTCAGCCCCTAATTTCCTCTAACTCCTCACTACTTGCCAATCTCTCCCCTATATATCCTATATACGTCTCCACATAAAGAGTGCGTTACTATCTAAGTGCTCGTTTGTATATATGTACAAACAAAAAACAAGAAATTAGTCTATCAAACGAAGAAGATTACCAAAAATGGCACCTTCGACATTGACAGCTCTAGCAGAGGAAAAGACACTTCAAACAAGTTTCATAAGAGATGAAGATGAGCGACCAAAAGTGGCGTACAACCAATTCAGCGATGAGATTCCGATCATATCGTTGAAGGGTATTGATGATGAGGGTGGAATTAATGGAAGAAGAGGTGAAATATGTGAAAAGATTGTCAAGGCATGTGAAGATTGGGGCGTTTTCCAGGTAGTTGATCATGGTGTTGATGCTCAACTTATCTCACAAATGACAACTCTCGCTAAACAATTCTTCGCTTTGCCTGCTGAGGAAAAGCTACGGTTTGACATGTCGGGTGGCAAGAAAGGTGGCTTCATTGTCTCTAGCCATCTACAGGTAATTTACCTTGTATGTTTATATATATATACTTGGTCATAGTCCCTCCATTTGAAAAAAAAAAATAAAACTTATCACCTACAGTAATATTTTCCTTTAGAGTTAAATATATCAAAAGTTTAGAAGTTTAAGCTTATGTTGTGACAAAATAAAAACATTTAAGGTAAGCAGCTAAATTATGAGGTAATTACATGTAAATTTTAATGATAAACATTACTAAGTAGTAATATGATTTAAAAAATTGATAGTTAACCTGCTATATATCATGTGTTAAGTAAAAAAGGTTTGCTATATATATAACTTAAATCCTTTCACCTAATGTTAAAATTATTAAACTAGTATATGTATATACTATCTTTTTACATGTTCTGACTTTAGAAAGTAGAAAATAGTACTAGTAATTAATAAGGAATGGGAGAAAATTAGATTTGACATTTACTGACAATTGTTAATGAATCCTTTTTATAGGGTGAAGTGGTCCAAGATTGGCGTGAAATAGTGACCTACTTCTCATACCCAATTCGGGCTAGAGACTACTCTAGATGGCCAGACAAACCAGAGGGATGGATAGATGTGACTCAAAAGTACAGTGAAAAGTTAATGGAGTTGGCTTGCAAATTATTGGAAGTACTATCAGAGGCTATGGGCTTAGAGAAGGAGGCCTTAACCAAGGCATGTGTGGATATGGACCAAAAAGTGGTTGTCAATTTTTACCCAAAGTGTCCACAGCCTGACCTTACCCTTGGGCTGAAACGACACACTGATCCAGGAACCATCACCCTCTTGTTACAAGACCAAGTTGGTGGGCTTCAAGCCACTAAAGATAATGGCAAAACTTGGATTACTGTTCAGCCCGTTGTTGGCGCTTTTGTTGTCAATCTTGGTGACCATGGTCATGTAAGTTTGTAGTATTACTTAGACCCAACAATTGTTTGTGTTCAATGTTATCAATTTAATAAATAAATTGGCATTTAATTATGTGAATTTTTGACAGTTTTTGAGCAATGGAAGGTTTAAGAACGCTGATCATCAAGCAGTGGTGAACTCGAATAGCAGCAGATTATCGATAGCTACGTTTCAGAATCCAGCACCAGAGGCAATAGTGTATCCTTTGAAAATTAGGGAAGGAGAGAAGGCAGTGATGGACGAGCCCGTAGCATTTGCAGAAATGTATAGGAGGAAAATGAGTAAGGACCTTGAGCTTGCTAGGCTCAAGAAACTAGCCAAGGAGCAGCAAATACAAGCTGAAGAAGCTGCTGAGAAGGCCAAGTCGGAAACCAAGCCTATTGATGAAATTCTTGCTTAATTTTACAATTTTAGTCATTATACATATTTTAATGCTCGAAATTGATCCTACTCCTATAATTTCTTTTTATTACTACTATTGTCTTCAATAACCATTTATCTTGCCGTTTTGAATTGGTGATAAAGTTGCCAAACCTATATGTTTGGTATGCTAAGGAGAAAGTGCAAACCTTTTGTCAAAGTAATTTTGTTACTGCATGTTACTGTCACTTCGCCGCAACGTCTTAATTTGTTTTCAGTCGTTTGCTTTCTTTATCGCTTTTTCTGCTGTGCTTCGCCAGTAGCATTGACTCCAATTTACATAACTGAAAGACGGAGGCACACATAAGATTTGATAACTTAAGTACACCACAATGTTCAAACTCAATTATCACTTTCTGCACCACAATACTCTGATAATTATCTCTATTTTGGTTTGGTTTGGTTTGATTCAATTTATTAGGTTTTTGGTTTGTAAGCAGATAAATTATTCTATTAAGCGAAAATAGACTTATTGGGAAATCGCACCTCTCATATAAGCACCATAAGCAAAACAACATTTTCAATAGGTGAGCTTTACCCTTTTATCAACAACACATTATAGATGATATCAAATTATGATATGAAAGATGAAAAAAGAGTATGATTAATTTCCAGAAAAAGCGAATTAAATTAGAGAAAAATCTATGCTTGCACCTATTCCTAATTCGTTGTTGCAAATGATTAAAAAAAAATGGACGATGTTATTTCTGCTTTTCTCGAAGAAAAGGAGGTACAGGAGAAAACTGATTCTACACAAGAACAATGAGGTGGGTTTCTGTTCAATGTGTTAAAAATAAAGGGGCATTTGCATCTATACCCGCTTTTTGTGTCACGTTTTAACTTGTGCCCGCTTTGCAAAAAAATTGCAAGCGTACCCGTTTTTTCGCATAACTTCAGCATACGGGGCTGAAGTAGAAAAGACAATCACGCAAAACTTCAGCTTTCTAGTAGTCGGGCCTCAAGTTCAACTCTAGAGCTGAAGTTTTTGTTTTGTAATAGCGAACTTCAGCTCTAGAGCTGAAGTTTTTGTTTTGTAACTGGCGAACGAACTTCAGCTCTAGAGGTGAAGTTTTTGTTTTGCTAAAATTTTTATCGAAGGAAGTTTTTGTTTTGTATCTTGGGACAATCCTGAACATCCCAATCCTTTAATTTGATTAAAAAAAATAAGCTACTTAATTTGACTTACCAGTAGCAGCAACAAGGAGAAGACAGGAGAGAAGGGCAACGAAGGTTGTGTATTTAGCCATATCTTGCTTGTTTTCCTTTTGGATTTCTTGGTGAGGAAACTGACAACAGCAATGGTGATATTTATAGCATGGTATATGATCAACATTTTCAACTTAATTCATTTTTTGACTAATTCAAGCATTTCATTATTATGTACATGAGAAAGTAAAAAGAATAAGTCTAGGTGATTCCTTCGATTCCCTATAAGATTATGAATTGGACGATGAGAACGAAGAAGAAGAAGAAGGAGGAGGAGGAGGAGGGCTGAAGTTATTTAAAAAGTGGGTACAAGTTAAAAAAAAATTTAAAAAATAGGTATAAGTTAAATGGGGGCGACCAAATAGGGCGCCCCGTGCAATTTTTACTGAATGAAATTACAACTAAAAATCCATAAAAGAAGAATTAAGATTGAGCCCAAGTATTTACCGGTCGAGTCTCTCAATGACAAAGCTTTCTCTTTATAATCTAGTTAAAATAGCACAGTCTAGCCAGTTTTCGGACTGGTCATTCAAAAATAGCCAGCGTTTGCCAAGTCATTGAAAAATAGTCACTATTTTGCTGTACCAGAGACCGGTCCAGCATAATATACTCGAGTTTGGTACACTTGTGTATGAACTTCCAGTATATTATGCTAGACCGGTATACTTTGCTGGCTCCAGTATAATATACTAGAGACTGGAGCACCGGTGCTCCAAACTCCAGTATATTATGCTAGACCGGTATACTTTGCTGGCTCCAGTATAATATACTAGAGACTGGAGCACCGGTGCTCCAAACTCCAGTATATTATGCTGGACCGATATATTATATTGGAACTCCAACATATTATGCTGGAGTATTTTTCCAGATTTTGAACAGTATTTTCTATTAAAATAGCATAGTCTAGCCAGTTTTCGGACTGGTCATTCAAAAATAGCCAGTATTTGCCAAGTCATTGAAAAATAACCACCATTTTACTGCAACAGAGACCGGTCTAGCATAATATACTGGAGTTCGGTGCACCTGTGTATGAACTTCTAGCATATTATGTTGGACCAGTATACTTTGATGGCTCCAATATAATAAACTGGAGACTGGAGCACCGGTGCTCCAAACTCCAGTATATTATGTTGGACCAGTATATTATACTGGAACTCCAGTATATTATGGTGGAGTATTTTTCCGGATTTTGAACAGTGTTTTCGTTCAGATTTATCTTTACGTGAAAAGTGGCTAAATTTCGATTACTTTTGAAACTGTGGCTATTTTTGAATGACCACTTGTAAATCTGGCTATTTTTTAATTTTTCTCGTGTTTTCGTTCAAATTTATCTTTACATGAAAAATGACTAAATTTCGATTACTTTTGAAACTGTGGCTATTTTTGAATGACCACTTGTAAATCGGGCTATTTTTAAATTTCTCCCTATAATCTAGTGTAGCCCACTGCCATTTAGCGCATCACAAACGACGTTCTTATATGGCAACTTGAGATTTAAACAATTTCGTCTGCGAAAATGAAAACAAAGGAATTCCTAAACAACTTGTAATGAATCCTTTTAGGATCAAGAAGGTTAGAATCGAGGTCAAATGGGAATCACCACCCAATGGCACTGTCAAACTAAATATAAATGGTGCTTTCTCCAAAAGATCATTAAAAACAGGCTTAGGTGGGTGTTCTGAAACTGCAACGGAGACTAGATCCTTGGCTTCCACAAATCTTGCTATGCAACATCCTCCATGCAAGCTGAACTTATGGCATTACAAGAAGGCTTAAAGATTGCTATGGAGATGAATTTCATAAAATTGGAGATTGAAACAGACTCCACAAAAATCATTAAACTTACGGGTGAGGACAACCAATCTTTTACTAACAGTTTATTTGATTGCAGGTTGTTAATGCACTAACTAAGCGTCCTAGTACTCAGGCTTAACTTCAGGGAAGGAAATGGAGTTGCGCATCTGCTAGCAAATTAAGGAAGCTATTATGTTGTATGATACCAAATGAAAACAAATATGTTCGGTTTTTGTAAAAGTAATACCAAGTCAAATCAAGTCAATGGACATATCAATTTAATCAAACTTTTAGTTTGATTTAGTTTATCAATTTTTCTTGAACACCTCTCATTATAAGAGTTGATTCCATCTTCTGAAGCAGAGTCGTCTGGGCAGTAGCGAAGCCAGAAATATTTCCAAGGGTGTTCAGACTTGAAAGAACTAAAAAAGGTTCCTGACAATGGGTGTTTATTATATATTTTATACATCTAAAATCAATATTTTACTTATATACACAGTATAATTTTTCATAATATTTCGGTGAAGGGCGGTTAGTTGACCACCCTTTGTAAAAGGTGGTTTCGACCCTGCGGCCGGGACACAGTACCATTGTGTATTGGCTTATTGCTGTTGGACACAACTTTGGTTACATCATAATTCTTGGACTTGTTTTTTGGGCAAGTCCTGCCAATAGTACGCAAACGAATATAGATTTGTTTTTCCGCGTGAATAATAAACAAAATGAAAACGGACTGAGAAGATCTGATATTTCGTCCATTCTCTAAGTTGTTTCACGTTTTCTTGAAGCTAGAAAACCACTTAATATTGGTATTGTAAAATATTAAATTTAAAATATCCAGAAAAAAAAAAAAAAAAAAAAAAAAAAAAAAAAAAAAAGTAAACTTGCACCGGAGAACAAGTGGAGGTCAAGCATCTCCTCTCTTTTTTTCTTTTTTTTAACCAATGTGAATCACAACATTTTTTTTGGTTAATAGAATCACAACATATTTTGTCACAATTTGACCATTTAACGCCACAAAGTTATAATTTCAATGGACTCATGACTATTGCTAACACGTTAATTCTTTTTCACTTGTCTATTTTACTATCTACAAGAAAAATGAGATTTATGTTTTATGTCTTGGTGTAGTTGACCAAAAAAATAAATGGTAAGTAGCCATAAAAAAAATTATAGACTTTAAGTTTTGTGTATCCACAATGTATGTGTATAAGAAGGTAATTGCTGGTGTCTCTATTCTATAAGTATTACTAGCATCTACCTAAAATAAATGATAAGTACCTATACCAATATATTTACACGGATAATATGAAAGATCTATGTATATAACTTAGATTCAAAGAGTCACGGGGAAAATTCCCTATCAGAATTTTTTTCATTTTTAAAACTCGAACAAAAGATCTCTAGTTAAGAATGAAGAAAGTAATATCATCTCATCACAACGTTGGTGCTTGGTGGTTACCGGAGAATAATCGATTTGGCAAAAGAAGGGGCTTTATCTTTCCTACGTCTGAAGTAGCAAAATTCTTGCATGCAAGCCGGGATGTGTGCGTTGTATGTAGACTATAATAATCTGAAAATGTTGTAGGACTCCATAACCATACATATGACAGCTAGTTTACAACAAAAGCCAGAAAAACTTGTAGTTATAACCTCTACAAAGGACATTAATCAAATCTCACTACTAGAAATTCGGTAAATACAGACCAAAAAAACCGACCAACTTTGATCGGTTATAGTCAATTACCGACCAAAATGCAACCAAATACGCCTTGGGCGGTATTTTAATGATCGTTTTAATATACCGACTAAAGTTAGTCGGAAATTACCGACCAACGTTGGTCGGTCAATTAAATTCAAAAAAAAATATTGCAAAAAAAAAAACCGATCAAAGTTGGTCGGTATTTTAATTATGTAATCAAAAGATTCACCATCTGGGAATCGAACGGGGGTTTATACTGTGACAGGATACTATTCTACCACTAGACCATTGGTGCATTTTGTTTTTTTTTATTTATACTCTTTAATTGTATTTTTGTACGAAAATAACCTACCAAAGTTGATCGATTTTATTAAAAAACAAAATTATCGACCCACTTTGGTTGGTTTTTCTTGATTGATTTTGCCGAATTTCTAGTAGTGTGTGCGGTAGAGCGTGAACATTTCTTGCAAGAAACAGAATTCGTCT